ATTAAAATTCATGCATGACTGATATGGTGGGGCATGTCTTTAGTCCCAGCACTGGGGAAGCAGAGACAGGTGGATCTCTGTAACATGGAAGCCAGCCTGGTCTACACAGCTAGGTTCAGGCTAGCTAGGGGTTAACTCAAAAGACCAAAAATTTTTTTTTAATGTACACATGATTCAATTTCATTTGTAGTTCATATGATGTCAAATTCAGGCACTTTTAGAAAATTATTCTTTAATTGGTTGGTATGCACACCTGGAGTGAAAAGATTTGTGTTTTTTGATGTAGTGTCAATGTTGAAATTTTTGAAAGCATCAATAATAAAAACAACAAGAATAAAGAAATCTCATTGTCCATACTGTCCATATATCCAGAATTATTTTGTTGTGTAGATTTGGGGAGGAAAAAATACTGCCTGATCATTTTTATAACAAAAACATTGAAAAAGGCCAGACATCATAGCACATGTCTTTAATCTCAGCACTCAGGAGGCAAAGGCGGGTGGATCTCTGTGAGTTTGAGGCCAGCCTGGTCTACATTGCAAATTCAAAGCCAGCTGGAGCTACCGGAAGACCCTGTCTCAATAACAACAACAACAACAACAACAACAAAACAGAACAAAACAAAACACTAAACATGTTTAGGAGGGAAAAATTACAAATAAATGTGAACTCTTTCAGGTCCTAGAAAGACCTTTCTGTCAGGAGGCTTGAGCACGTAGCTGTGCTTCTGAGCATGCTCATACACACCAGTAAAGAACTATCAGAGATTTTCCATGCTGTATAAATAATATTGCTCTTTAATATGTTACTTTAATAAGAAAAATAAAACTAATGCTTCTAGTCAGCACACTCTTCTAAAATAGCATTCGTTGATAGCATGCTTTGCTTTTTAATGGAAGAAAAATAAAACTTAATGGAAGCTTCAACTGCCGAATTATTTTAAAGCACAGGGTTGTGAATGGAAATAGTCCAAGGACTACACATCTAAGAATTGTAGCTTAGAACTGATACTATGTTAGTAGAAAAAAAATTTGTCGCTTAAGATGGAAAGATGGGTCACATGATTTTGTTACATAGTCACAGAGCTCTGTTCTGAGGTTTTAGCACCACAGTGGTCCAAAGGACCTTACCTGCAAGCTCTGGGAAGCCTGGCCTCTGTAGAAAACGCTTCATCGTGCCGTGCTTATGCTTCCTCATAAAGCTCTGTGCTTTAGATAAAGTCCTGTTTCTTTGCCATGCAGTGCACAGAGTGGTGTGTGAAGACAGCTGCTTGATGGGTTCCTATGACTTTGCCTCTACAAGCCTGTCGAAAATGGGGTCTTCCCAGTAAAACAACAACCCATAGGTATGTGGATGATTTCAGATTAATTGCATTTTGCCAGAAATGCTCTAAGCTTAGTACTGACCCAGAACACACATGCATGTACATACACACTGACCCAGAACACACGTGCATGTATATACACGTGCATACACACACACATACACACACACACACACAAGCAAATCCATAATGGGAGCAAATTTTTCACAAAACATTTCCTCTTACTGCATTTTGGTATTTTGTTGACTCTCCCATTTAATTTTTTATTTTTATTTTTTTAAAGCACGCCAGTCACCACTCACCAGCTTGATTTCTGTGTCTACACATGGGTCATGAACCATAGCACTGGCTAGACACCAAGCAAGGAAAAGCACAAAGGGTATTTATTTGTTCAACGTTTTTAACTTTTACTTGTTTGGTATAAATAAACAAATTAGTAAGATAGGTTGACATTTCATACGTGCTTAGTTTTGACTGATCCTTCATCCTGACTTTTCTACCCATCCCATCACCAGTTATAATTAGAAAGCTAGGATCCTCAGATAGGATATGGCATGTTACCTGTTTTTCTGATTCTGGAACACTTCACTCAATACAATAATTTTCAGATCAATCTATTTCCCTGTAAATTTTGTAATTTCACTTCTCTTTAAAGTTAAATAAATTGCAGTCTGTGTACGTACTACCTTTTCATGATCCGTTCATTTGCTGATGGATGCCTAGGCTGGTTTTATTTTCTTGGTATCGTGAATAGAGCAGCAGTAAATCTGGATTTGCAAATATACCTGTGGTAGGACATAGAGTCCTTTAGGTACATGCCCAGGAGTGGTAGGGCAGGGTCATATGAAAGTTATGTTTTGAGTATTTTTAGAAACCTCCATACTGATTTCCATAGTGGCAGCAGCATTTTACAATCACACCAGTATACTGTTTTGCAAATAACTTTGAATATTAAAATATCATTGAAATAATTTTGGAGTGCAAGGCTTAAGTAGTGAAAGGGTGTGATTTCTTTTCTTGTGGTGCTGTGGATTGAACCCAGGGCCTTGTGCATACTAAGCAAGCGCTATCTCGCTGTTGCATCCCCAGCCCAGGATGTAGTAACTATGAATGCTAGATAAGATTTCCAACATACAGGGAATCCAATTGGGTTTAAATTCCAACTAAACAATAAGTAAAATTTTAGTGTAAGTTTGTTTTAAATATTATAAAGATATAGTTATATTGGAAAGCTATTTATTACTGACCTGGAATTGAAATTTAACTAGGCAGCCTGCATTTTTATTTACTAAATATGGCAGCACCGTCTTCCAAAACTGTTTTCCTCTCGTGGATTCCAGGGATGGAAATTAGCCCATCGTATCATCCTGTAAGCACTTTGCCCCACTGAGCCATCTTGGCAGGACTGTGCTCTTCCAAGATGGTCCTGAGCATGTTGGAGGGTACTAGGCCTGAACCCCTCTCATGGCCAATCTTCATGGTGGCCTTTTGTGAGCACTGCACTGCAGCAGGAGGCTCTCTCTGCCATATTATACCCCTCTTCTCTTTATCTTTCACAAATATCAACCTCTCATAATCCTCAGGCTCACCAAAATTTTTGATTTCTGCCCTGTCCTCAGAACTGGAAGAGGTGGTGCCCTCTCTCTAGTAGACTCTCCTCCAGCATCCCCACTGTGCAGGGAGATTCTAAAGAGCTCACTTCTTCAGTGTCACAGAGTCCACCTCCAGAGGTGACCCTACCTCCTCTTCCAGCTGCTGAGGAAGAAAATTACCCCAATGTGAAATAAAAACCAACTTAAAAAACTCAACAAGTGCACTTACACACCTGCAGGCAATGTACTCATACATATAAAATAAAAATAATAAGTAAAAAAAAGTTAAAATAACCTCAACAATATTTGGAGAGAAACTATAAGAAGGAAGTGTCTTAGTCAGATGTCCTATATTGTGAGAAATTACCTGAGACAATCAACTTTAAAAAGAGGAAAGGTTTATTGTGGTTCCTGGTTTCAGAGGTTTCATTCCGTGTCACGATGTCCTGTTGGTTTTAATGTAGGACAGTTCAATTCATGGTATGATTACATGGAGGACGATTGTTTCTCATATTGGCTGGAAACAAAGAAAAAGGGAAAAGGACCAGTGTCCTGATACTACCCTCAAAGGCAAGCTGCCAGAGACTCAGCTAACTTTCATACATACCCATCCTTCACAGGATCTGCTACTTCTCATATCTTTATCAATGGGCCCATTTCCCCAGGCCCCCACATTTAGAATGCTTTGTGAATTTGTGTGTGATAAGCTTCTCTGGATTGTATGAGTTTTTAATATACATGCCTCTGAAGCTGCAGCCCTTAGCCTTTAAACCAACACCCTATACTTTCTGTATTGAATATGTTGACAAGTTGCCTTCCAGAGAGTTTGCATGCTGTTTTATAGGCTCACAGCAGTGAATGACAGGGAACATCTCTTCACATTCTAGCCAGCATGCTATTAAAATAGAAATAGTTCAGCAGTCTCCTTTTAGCTCAGTTACTAAATATTCCATTCATACAGGAGATTTTTTTTCCTTTCCTGAAATGCTTAATTTTGCTTAAAAATGAGTTAGTGATATATTTATATGCCAAGTGTATTTTTCCCCACAAAATAATTTCAAATCTGTCTTTCAGAATAGGACCAACTGCTTAATGCTTTCTGGTTTGAGAAAATATTTTATTTTGGGCCAAAAATTATGTCAAGTGCCTTCAAAATATTTGGTAATAATTATCCTTCTATTTGATAAGATAATCATGGGGGTGGCTATTAGCAAAGTACAGCTATATATCTGTGTATAAAAACATCATTGTGAAACCCATTATTTTGCATACCATATAAAAAGTGTTAAAAAGATAAGGACACTTAAAAAATAAATTGTGATTAGATTAATCATTTCATGAATGATAATCATGATTTTTGCACATGTGGCTCAGGTGTTTGTTGTGTTTTGTGTCACTCCATGTGGAAGAGCACACGTTTTACTATATTTCTTTCCTTCCTTTCTTTTCTTTCATTTTTTTGAGACAGGGTCTCCCTGTAGCCACAGCTAACCTAGAACTCGGTGTATAGACCAAGCTGACCTCAGTCTCAGAGACATCCATCAGCCTTTGCCTTTGCCTCTGGAGGGCTGAGAATAAAGGTATGTATGATCATGAGCAACTGGATTACTATATTTTCAAAAGTTTTTGTAACACTTCTTTTAATATTTCACTGTTATCTTTCTTTTTTTCTAGGATTGAAAAGTAGTATAAAATATAGTTTCAAGAAATGTCAAGAAAATGTAAGGATATCAAATAAAGAAATCCAATCATCATGTATAAAGGGACGTTGCAATTTAAAATGAATATGTCAAGTCATGGTTAACTTTTTATTGTATATACATTTGTATTTATGAAGCATAAAATGTATTTTGTGAATTAGCAAAATCATCACAGATGGTACTAGATTTAAGTGAGCAATTTGGCATTATTAATCCAAAGAAATAATATAAATATATAACAAAATGATCTTGTGTTCCTAGCTATTGCATATAATAACGTGTAAGAGATCATGTGAGCTGTCATTAACTGTATACTTATTTAATAATATGAAGTGTATTTATCTTAGGCTACAAGTCCTACATGAGCTCAAACCAGACAAAAGCCCAGCATAGAAGTGGGGTAAGAAACTCTAACTCTACTTGAAGAACTATTGGCAACTGATGGCTGCTGGGAGAGGGATAATTAATCTCACTTAAGGGTAAGATTCTTGATGGGTTGACCAGGCTCCAGCAAACACACTGAAGGGCATTTGGGGGACACAAATTTGACTTTATGAGCCTACATAAATTTATGATTTTGCAAATTCATAAAAATACTACGTATATGATATAACTAGACTTTGTTGATCACTTTGGCAATATTAATCCAGAGAAGTGATACAAATAATATAAGAATCACAGAGCCTTTGTCCTTATTGGCTCTGAACCCCAAAATCGTGACCCCACCTACAGAAGATGGCCGGAAGCTCTGCTCAGCCTCTCAGGGTCCCAGACACTCAGCTGACAGTTGCTCTGATTCCCAGCTGCCCAAGATCCAGAAATCGCCTCAAGGAAAAAAGGAATGTCAGAAGAGATCACTAACTTCTCTGTTTTTCCTTTTTGAGTATTAGCCTCATCGTGGCTGCCTAAATGGCTGTTAGAGTCTCAAAAATCTTTGTGTGATTCTTATACGTGAAGCATCACACACTTTCTTCAGTTGAGTATGCACTCTTTCTTCGTCATCTTTGATCTTTGTTTAAGCATATGGGTATCTTTTGTCTGGGTGCTGCTCATTAAAATTCTGTGTTTGAATTTCACTTCATAGTCAAAAATTAAAATACACCTGATTCTAACCGTATGGTTATGTTGTTTTAAATTTGACTTCAAAAATCTCTTCAAAACTATTGGTTTTAAAATTCAGTTCTCCAAATGAGTAATGTCAGCAAGAAGATCTTCTAATGTGAAGAAACTGATATTTAGAAACAATTGTCTAAATTATATTATACCTCATGATTAATTCAACTATTTTATGATGCTGAAAAATAAGTACATATAATCTTTGAGGTTTTGCAGCACATCTATGAACTTATCAGTTGCAGCTATATTGAAGTATTTTTAATGTAAATATCTACTTTTTTGCAGAGTTTAGGCTCTGAGGACATTATTTTAATTACAATTTGCTGAGTAAATATATTCTCAACCAACCTGAGTTTCTGCAATGCCTATCAAATTACATCCTCACTTAATTATCACCCTTTTGACTTATAAGATTTTTAACTTTTGAGAGCTCAGAAAAGAATGGCATTAAATATGAACACAATTAAATCAGCCTAATGAATATTTTTATGGATGTAATTTAAAAAGAAATGTGAATTTCAAATGCAAAGTAAAAAAAAACATGAAACAGGACTCCCCTTGGTTTTCTAAAGGAATGCACTTGCTATTTCCTACAGTGTAGCTTAGTCATTAGAGATGGTGGTGATTTGGGATTGTGTCACTAAACCTGACTAGCAGGAACAGTGACTAGCAGATAATTTAGACTTTGAAATTAAAGTGTTTTAGCTATTGGCAGATGTCAAGGCAGCCTGAGACTTAATGAATACTAAGCTGCATACCTGCCATCCTTATCTGTCTCCTGCACAGTTGACAAAACAAGCCAGTCTTGATGTCAAAACAGATGGGGAAGGAAGAAAGAAGAAACTTGAGCAGAGTTAAGTCTTGCTTTTTCATTTTAAGTTTTTTTCTTAACTCTCAGTCATTTCCTGAACATACTCTAGGCATACCAAAATAAAGTATTTATTAATCCACAGAAGATTACTCAGAAAGCATCCTGTGCTACTACTTGATCAGTTCGGTAGATAAAATCTATTGACCCACTTCTTTTCTTCCTATGTGGACCCGGGCTCTTCATCATCCCTGTTTGAGGACCAGATCTGAGATGGGACTTAACAGTCTCTTACTAAGGCTCACTTGATCGGACTCTTCAGCTTTTCTTCTCCTTTTTCACTTGGCACACAGCATACCTCGGGCTCCTCCTTCACTGGCCTGTTCTCCAACACTCTAAGTGACTGGATTCTAGGAGCAGCTTCAGAGGCTCTTTGTACCCAGTCCAGTTTCCTTATAAATGCTAGACTCACATATTTAATTGTGCAATGGTTATTTTCTACATACTTCAATTCTTTCTTTCATTTTCTTTCTGCTTTCATCTGTCTCATCAAGGTGGAAATTTTAGTCTTCTACCCATGCTTACCTCTTAAGTGTGTTTTCTACTTCTGACCTTTACTTCCTTTTATTTATTTATTTATTTATTTATTTATTTATTTATTAATTTATTTATTTGGGTTTTTTGTTTTGTTTTGTTTTGTTTTTGAGACAGGGTCTCCCAGTAGCCCCAGCTGGCCTGGAACTCACTGTGTAGACCAGGCTGGTCTCGAACTCACAGGGATCCGCCTGCCTCTGCCTCCTGAGTGCTAGGATTAAAGGCATGTGCCATCACACCCGGCCTGACCTTTATCTCTTTTAATCTTTCTTGCATAAATAAACTTAGGTGAATTGCTTTAAACATACATCTATGTCTCTACCTATTCTATTATACTCCAGAGAATAGAGTTCAAGTTCCTTCACATGATGTCTGAGACCTTTCTACACTTTAAACCATCTGTACCTCTTTGGTTGTCTCTCTCTAATTTGTGCTATTTTCTTTCATTCAACATGCTTTCTGAATGCTTCTTATGTGATACTGGGAAGAAAGGCTAGCATTATTCCCTCTATAAGAAGCTTAGATTCTGTTGCTTGAATCAGACATTAAATAGAAGCATAAATCTCAATCAGGACAAATAAAATACAAAAATCTATTGTGTAAAGAAGCTTGACCTTGTCTGAGGAGTTGGGATGGTTTAGCTGAACAAATGCAACCTAACTTACATCTAAAGGATAAACAAAGACAAAGGAGAAGTTGTGGGAGGTGTTAGTTAGCTTTTCTTGTTCCTGTGACAAAACAGCTGACAGAAATAGCTTAAAGGAGAGATTCATTTTGGCTCACAGTTTAGAGGGTCTAGTCCGTTGTGGTAGGGAAGACAGAGTAGCTAAGACAACTCCATCCATGGTAGTGGGAACTTGCTGTGTGGATTGTTCTTATCTTGGCGTATGAGGAAGCAGAGCTATTAGACCAGAAAGAGATCCAGGATATAACTCTCAAAGCCTTCTCTTGGTGGCCTATGTCCACAAGGTAGCCCTATGTCTCAAAGATTCAATAACTTCCCCAAACAACACCATCATTTGAGGACTTAATGTTCTAAACACATGAGTCTGTGAAGGACATTCAAATCACCAGGGGAGGCATTCAAATCTTTGGCACATTTGCCAAGACTCTGCTATGGGAGTAACGTGTTTAAAGAACTGAAAGGAAGCTCTTATGCTGGTCTAGAGAGACAGGAGATATGAAGATGGCTAAATGGCATAAAACGGTAAGGAAAGATCAGTTTGTGCTTTGACTAGATTGTCATGGACTTGGTTGAGAATCTGTTGTTCTACTTTGAGAGTAAGAAGCTGTAAAAAATTCTTTAAAACTGAGCATGGTAGAATTGAATTTAGAAAAGAACCCCCCTGGCAATGGTATTGAGCACAAACAATGAACGGACATATACTCTACACACCACTAACTGAAATAAAAATCTTGTAGAGCCCCTCTTGAGGATTTGATAATGTGACCTAGAACCTGCATTTCTAGGAACATAAGCAAAAGAATGAAACCACATGCCTGCAAAATAAATGTGTGCATCAATGCTCATAATACATTATTCTTAATAAGTAATCATAGAAGCAACCCAAATGTCTACCAACTGGCAAATGGATAAATAATATGATGAACCCACATTCTGCAATGGAAAATGAGAACTTAGGCATGCTCCAATTTGAGGCTCAGAAACACAATGCCAAGCCCAGGAAACCACATTCCAGGTTCTATTTATTGTGTGAGTTCATCTATATAAAGATATCAGGGGAGCAAATCTACGGAGTCTGAATCAGTGTTGGTGAAGTAGAGGAAGAGGAAGATGGAAAGTTCCAGAGAGCAGACACCAAAAGTCTTTTGAAACTGATGGACCTGTTCTAAAATTAGATTGCAATAATGGTCACATAATACATGATATTTAATCATAATAACTGGATTATTTACTCAGAATAAATGAGTTTTATGATATACAACTTATCACTTAACAAAGTGAATGACTAGATGAACAAATGTAGAAATGGATAGTGGATGTGCAAAAACTCTGTAGGAGACCACAGTGAAAGGTGATGTCTGGTACAAGAGACTAGGTTGGAACAGGACTGAGGAATGTTTGGAAGTTAGGATGAGCAGGAGTTGGGAACATGGACACATGGCTAGACTCTCTCCTTTAGAAATGTAACACTGAGGGGCTAGAGAGATGGCTCAGCAGTTAAGAGCACCAGCTGCTCTTGCAGAGGACCCGGGTTCGATTCCCAGCACCCACATGGTGCTCCAGTTCCAGGGGATCCAACACCCTCATCTGAGTCTATGGATACTGTACGACATGGGTGCGCTTACACACATGCAAGCAATACACTTATATTTTTTTACTTAAAAAAAAAATACTTAAAAGTAACACTGAGTCCTGTAATACTACATGCTCCTCATCTTTCTCTGTGTAATCCTGACTTCCTTGGGAGTGGCTCTGTATCATTGCCTACACATGATCACCCTTTGCCTCTCCAATCAGATGTCATTCCCCTCTCAGAGCCCTGCTGGAGTCGCCACACTCCTTTGTGCCCTCACAACACTCCCTGCATGTTCTGTGTTAACTGTGTCTTGCATTTTTACATATCTGTCACTGTTGTGGAGCACTTTTTAATTAGGTCTTTAACTCTATCACAATATTCCTGTCAAGCATGGCCAACTGACCTCGGCACTTTCTCCTACTGAGTCTGGAGACCTCTGAAAACAATGCCACCAGTAGCTCTTCTTTGAACTGAATGGCATTTTTACATATATAAAGCCTATTTGCCACCTTTGTCCCTGTCTGTGACATCACGGTGAAACACAGTATCTGCCAATGGTCTCCTGTATCAGGTACTCAGGTACTCTGAAGGGATACAATAAATGGTAAAAACCTTTATGGGAAAGTATGTTCAGATTCATCTAAGGGTGATATATAAAACAATTTATTCCTTTCTACAGTCCCTCTTTCATTACAGTGGCTGATGCTTTTCATCCTCTTCAGCGAGAAATTTGCTGAATATCACTGTAATTTCTTTCCATTCTGCTTTTCGTCTAAGTCCTTGTCTTGTTAAATGTAAGCAAAGACTATAGTCTTTTATTCTAAGTCACCCAACTACAGTCCATAATGGGACTTGGACTTTATACAATAGTCTTTACATTTTAGATATTATAGCTTTGAGAGATAAAGCTTTCTAAGTCAGGCATCAAGGTAATGATTTAGTTATTTATTCCTTTGAACCAGCTACTTTGGTGACTCACTTTTCTTCCTAACCCATGCTATTATGCACTAATCCATACATTACTTCGCTTCAATACAGATGACACAGACTGTTGACTTAGGGTGATTTTGCAATATGCACATTAACAAAGACTTTGTGAAGAGGAAGAATACCAGTTTTTCAACCACCTTTAAAAAACAGCTGAGTGAGAGACTAGCTTAGCAGGGTGTTAAATATCCATTTAAAATGGCAAGGAG